CTCTCCAGACTAGAGCTCAGCTTGACCTTCAAAATAAATGTAAGGATAATGATGTCCACCTTTTATTCTGGAGTTTGACCCAGTGCAGACTGAGCACCTGCTGGATTGTAGCCCTTTCTCAAAGCTAGACAGTGGTGATCTGAAACAGAATTGACCAGGGACAAAAATGTGTAGAAGTGCCCTAACTAGACAGAAACCCTGACACTTCCCTCATCCCTCCAAAAAAGTGAAATTCTCAGCAAGAGAGCTCAAAATCCCTCCCACAATAACAGTTTGTTAGCAACTGAAGTCCAAAGTAGACCAACATGTCCACAGAAGCAATTCCATTGCAACGCCATGCTCTTATACTTGCCAGTGAGTAATTTCCCACATATGTTTCTCACTCCTTCAAAATCAGTACTGGATACAAAAATACAGCCTAGTTTGTTTGTTTTCTTAAATATAGTTTTAGTAATGAAAGCATGAAGGATATTTTTAAAAAACAAACCAGACTGATTTAGCAGGGGCTTTAAAGCCATCCAACTGAAACACTTCAGTTAACATCTGCTCTTATCACAACTGTTACAGACCACGTCTAAAATAAGTTACTTATTTTGAGGATAAACGCATACAAGAACAAATGCCACGTGCATCAAAGAATTCCCACCCATAATGCAAATTCTATTTCTGTTCCCCCCCAAATTAACTGTTGTACGCAATTTCCATCTCCTTTCTTCCAGCCTTTTTCAAAAGCAGGGCTGCAACACCAAATCACACCTCCAAGTCTTCCTTAAATTCTCACTTCAGAATTCACAAGTGTACCAATCACATTATTTTAATTTAGTTGTTAGTATATACATTAACACTCAAAAGTGTGATAAAAACCAAACAAAAGTAGGTTTTTTTAATAAACAGCATGTGATACAGACTGCAAAGATAAATAAAAAGCAGACTTTTTACAGTTTCCCATGAACATGAACTACAATAATTATCATAGGCCAAACTTTTGTTACTTGAGTAGCACAGCAGAAGGGGAAGAAAAGGGTTGTGGTTTTTTTTTTTGTGGGTTTTTTTTTTTTTTTGAAGTACTGCAAGACTATTCTCAGTATGACAACACATGCATCTTGCTGCATCTTAAATACTTTCTTGGCCCATCACTACTAAAAACGTCTTGCTTTCTAACTACTTTACCACAGGACCTTTATCACAGAATGACATACACATGGCAACATCCCTACCCCACCCCACCCCCCCTAGTGGTTATTTCAAAGATAATTGTCTCATTTTTAAAACATATTTCTAGCACTGGTGGGTGTTTATATTCCCCTTTTGAGGCAGACATGTAACTGCTACCAGCTTCAACAAAGTTACATATAAGCATCAAGAGATTACACCCTTCCGGGCTCTATTTTTCCAAAATGCCAACGGGATCCTGGGCTGCCTTAGGAAGAGCATCGCCAGCAGGTCAAGGAAGGTGAGCCTTCATCCTGCCCCTCTGCTCAGCACTGGTGAGGCCACACCTGGAGTGCTGGGCTCCCCAGTACAAGCCAGACATGGACACACGGGAATGGGTCTGCCAAAGGGCCATGAAGATGATGGATAGGGGAGGAAGCTGAGAGCGCTGGGATTGTTTAGCCTGGTGAAGAGAAAGCTCAAGGGGCATCTTGGCAATGTATAGAAATACTTGATGGAGAGGAGTAAAGGCGGCAGGCAAGGCTCTTCTCAGTGCTGCCAGTAAAAGTACATTAAGCAATGAAGTAGAAGAACTTCCATATAAACATTAAGAAAACACTTTTACTGTGGACTCTTCTTTCTTGGACAGACTCTAAACCCAACTGGACAATGTCCTGGGCAACCTGCTCTAGCTGACCCTGCTTTGAATAGGGTGGTTGGACTAGAGGGTCTCCAAAGGTCTCTGCCAACCTCAACGATTCCGTGAAATTCTGTGAAAATTCTTGCAATTGTGGTGCCAGCTGCAATGAAACAATACTTTCAAAATTTCGAGCCTGGGAATCCAGGACATGAGACTGCAGCCATATATATTTAAATCCTTTTCTTCACCAGGGAAGTGGATTTTGATAGTGTATGTGGATATTCACAGTTAAAACTTACAGAGGTGCGAAGGGGCAAGGGGAAAGGATGATACTCCCAGATGATGAATTATACATTTATATTTACAAGAAAAGATGAAGAATTTGGACCACAGCGGCTACAAGACAAGAGAAGGATTCGTCTCTTCCTTTTCTTTCCCTGCCCCAAATGAAATAGTAAGACAACTTTGGACAGCCTGGGGCAGTTGATAATTCAGGATACAGAATACTATTAATAAAGCCTGGAAACAGATTAGAAGTAGTTAAACCAAAGAAACAAGGCAAAATGAGATTGCAGCTATGAATATCCATGTTTTGGCTCTCAAGGATTAACTAAACTACAACAGACATAAGATTCTTAGGAGAAACAGCTTATGCTTGAATTAGACTTTCTATAACTTCAGCAATACAATTAAGTCTGGTTTAACTGTGATTAATTTTATTACTGGAACAAGTTGCTAACAAAAGTGATGCAGTTACACTGAACTAAATGATTCCTAAACCAGTTTAATAGCTACTGGGGATCTGGCACCAGAATTTCAGAAAGAGTCAAGATAGAATAGTGTATTTTTGGCCTTCCTTATGCCGAAGGAATATTGCATCACATACAGAAGTAAGGACACTTAAGATGCATTTATAAAAACCAATGGGGATGCTAGCTTCAAAGTACAGGCAGAACATTGCTTCAATTGATCTTCCCTTACAAATATTTTATGTTCTTATGCTATGGGCATGTTGCTTTTTAGGGGAGAGGGGTGTTGGAGAGGGAAGGGAAGAGACAGAGGGATCCACCTCTGGCTTAGAGTCAGGAGTGCTAACGCAGTAAGACCTCATACTCTAAGAGTCTATCCCATAAAGCTCAGAAATCAAGAATACTGTGCTGCAAATTAAGAACAACTATTTTTCCTGAGTGTGGGTTCAAGTTTTTATACTATGAAGGAGTAGGAAGAAGAAACATTTAAGATAGCAAGCAATAAAAATCTTGGAAGTCTCAAGAATGAAAGTAGCTATAGACAAGATTATAGTAGTTATGAATTGGAGAGCTGAAAAGGCTAGTTAATAAAGACTATTTCAAAGTAAAATTGTCAAGTGTTTAACTAGGCTGCTAGTAAACATTCCTCATTAAGAGAACACCTTTCATACTGAATCATATGAATAAGTGATCTGGAACTTTAATATACATAATAGTCTAATTCTGATTTCATATGCTGTTGTGAATCCAGAGTGATTCTGATGAAGACAGTGTTCTATCAGCATAAAGTGAAATCAGAATTTCTCAAAGACCAGAGCACCTATAGATTTGGTTAGTGTATGCAGATAGAGAACTTCTATATCCAATTTCCAGTTGGCTTCCCTTCATTAACACAGGTGTAAAAAATGAAAATGAAACCAAAACCACCCCCAAAAACCCCACACCAGCTGCAGGGGTGGCAAGCTACACATCATTTTGGACAGATAGAGCCTTACCTAAACTGAGACAACTTTCAGCACAAAAAAAAGATACAAATTCATTATTTGTATGAAACATGTATTGCAAAATTAAATTGGGATTCAACAATCTGCAACAACATCCACAGCTATATAATATTTAAAAAAAAAAACCCAAACAAAAACAAGTGTGGTTCTTCCATTCAAGTAAAACTAAAACACGAGAAAGAAGTTTAAAAAAAAAGTCTTAGAAGCAGCAAGTTACAATTCTTTCTGTAATACCACACCATTTTCATTAACTTGAAGCATTTTCAAGATGTCAAAGACATCAACAAAATAGTAATTTTAAGTGGCTTTTTTGATATTTGTTTTTTGAATGGGTCCAGCCCAGGTCTGCAACCTGTACAGACATGCAAAACAGGAGGAATTCACAATTATTAAGAACAGACGTTGGAACATGCCAGTTATAAAATGACAAAGCAAAGAAAATACCTTCAAATTGTCATCAAACATGGGCCACTGACCACTGAAGGGCATTTAATATTTTACATAAAAAGGAAAGTTGGAAAAAACCTAAAACAACTCTCCAAACCACCAACAGTAGGGTCATCACATACAAAATTCTTTACAAGCTTGGTAATTTCTATATTGCCCTTAATATGCAGGCTTATATCTTCTCCACAAGATGCCAAACCACTAACAATTTTGGTTTTATTTAAATGCTTTTCTTTAATTTTAAAAGTTATACTGAAATTGTTTTACCTATAAAAAACAAACTACTGATGCACCCTTTTAGAACAGAAAAGTGTGCATATGTAAAGTCAGTACAGGTGCTTTTTCTGCTACCTTTATGAAAGCAAAGAATATATTTTTAAGAAAAACTAATCAGCAGCAGCCTGTTCTGTCATTAAATCAAACACAGTTTCACAGCTGAAAAATTTACTGTTTTTAAATTTGTATTTCACTAAATCACCATTTCCTAATGCTTTGTAATAAAACATATGGCCCAATCCTGGGGTCCTTGCTCTGGTAGTGCTACTACAAAGTTTTGCAGGAACAAGGTGTTTGGATTCAATTCAAGCTCAAAATAAGCTACTTAGTGTTTTGTGCAGCTGATTCTCAGAATAAAGGGAACACTTTCAAATCTCCATGAAGTGGGAATAGCTAAAAACAAAAATCCAAATTCCAAGCAATCTCTGTAAAAATCTAGAGCTCAGTTACAGGTACTTTCGCAGTCTGTAAGCAGATCTTACTGAGAACAGATGACATCCTCTCATTTATACCAACATAAGTAAATAGTACCTCCACTATCTTCAGTGAAGTTACATCAGCACAAAACTGGCATAACAGGATAAGGTAATTAGCGTTGAACACTTTGAAGCTGAAAAAAAGGATTATTATTTTTTCCCTGAAACATTGGCAGAATGTTTTTCAAATGCCCATCCTGTTTATGGTAAGAACAATCGCTTGTAGCCCATGTGCTTCTCCTACTTTTTTTTTTTTAATTTAAAGGCTATAATTATCCCAAATCATATTATGTCTGTATCACTATGAAGTTTCCTTTCTTTTACTATTTGATGTTCATAACTTCTACAGCTTGTGCACAGCATTTAGTTGCAATAACTTTTAGAAACAGAGCCTGATTCCTCATACCTTTCTGTTTGTGCAAAAAGGGTGCAGAACACTGTATGCTTGAACTGAAAGACATTTATAGTCATATTTACAGAAGTAAATGGCTAGGAAGGGACAAAGTACAAAAGAAGGTGGGCTCATAACATCCAATAAATTTGAGTTGATCTTTTCATCCAGGCTGAAAAAGGCTGACCATCTCTTAGAGAAAACGAGGTAAAGCATTGTTTCAATACCAGATAAATAAGGATAATGTAGCACCTAATGTGGCATTTGTGCAACAGTTTTACTCAGTTAAGAGTTATAGCCAACAGGGTTTCAGATTTTGTGAACTAAATTTAAGTTGCAACTAAGCCATGTTTTAAAAGAGCTAAACCATTAGAGTGCATTGACTGCAAAGTTATACATACAAGGGTAATTTCACTCTAGAAAGTATGACCAAGGTTAGCAGAAGTTAAAATATTCGTATGAACAAAAAGAAATATGTAACAGTCAATAAAAAGAGTAATGTGAAGTCTGTTGGACTACTCCAAAACATTTAGTAGAACTAAGGAAATAAAACTTCACATTCCTCATAAAATTCTTGGAACTTCTGTAGTTTTCACAAAAACAGGTCTCCCCCCACAACATCAAGTATCCAGGTGTGCAGTAATCAACTGCAGGATCTTGACTATGAAAGTGTCTTGAAAGACCAAAGTCTTGGCTTTACAATCCCCAAAGTCTTTCATAATGTAATTGATTGCACATTTTTAATATATTACAATTTGCTAAATGAAGCCAACCACTCATTACCTCATCAGTACAGCCTGCACAAAGTACAGTTTATTTATATACTTATATTCTAACCTAACACCAGCTGTCAGCATATTTTATATTACATGTGGTATTGCACTTTCTGAGTGGCACCTCGGTGCGTGTTTGCAAGTGAACAAGCTGAACCCCCGAAAGCCCCAGACCTTTGGAATTCACTCCAAGTGCTGTCAATCTAGCAAGTTTAAAATGTTAGGGTGAACACCACCCTCAGGATCGTGGGCTTCACTAATTAAAAAACCTGTTTAATAATTAGAAAAACAGTCCTACCTGAAGTTGTGCATAAGGGCAATCTGAAATCCTCAGTACTCTGAACAGTTTCAAAAAGTGGTGCCAATTTAACTGATTGCACACATCGTAATTGTGTTAGAGGACAACAACTAGATTTACAAATATATATACACGCGCACACACACAAAACAGACAAAGCTATAAAATGTTTGGTAACTCCACATGCTTTGAGCTAGCCAACGTATCTGCTGTATGTTGAACTGCTTATTATTGATCATATTGAAAATCTAAATTGCTATTTCTGATGTATCTGTTACTGGATTAAGCAATCACTTCCAAAGGAGGAAGAAAGAGGAGAAATGGTGGACCCAAAGATTGAGGGTTTAAATGTACGTTCCTTGAATAGCCAGTATATCACTTCAGTAATGTGAAGAGTGATGCCCAAAAATTTTTTGAAGAGACTTAGGCCAAGTTCACCTCTGGCATTAGTGGGTATATCTCCCACTACTTCAATGGTACTTGTGTCCTCTTTCACCAGGGTTGAATTTGGTCCTAGGAGTATATCTGGTCACCTTCAGTGACGTTAATGGAAACGGGAGTCTTGGACAGATAGAACTGGGCTGCAAAATTAAAAGAGTGAATATTGGACAAATCATGTAAATAAAGAATATATATTAATAATAGTTCCTATTATATAAATAGCCTTTATAAAAAAATAATCTTTCAATAATTTTAATAACTCACCTTTCTTTAGGCTCTGGAAAACATGTATGAAAAAAATCTACTCAGTTCAAGTTAGATTAAAGCAAACCTAAGATGAACACTACAACTCTCTGTTGCACTAAACCCAATTCTGACCATTCAATTTCCAGGTTAGTCAGTTTTTGGGGATGATAGGAAGTTTCTTTGTGAAGGTATGAATTGCACCCCTAGAAATACTGAGCAGAAGAAACACCATACTGAATGGGCCTACTTCCTACTGCTTTCAGAAACTGTGCAGATAACGGACCCAGAAATCAAAGGGTCATCTCAACCCCATAAACATTAATGCCTCTGAGCACATTTAAAAGGCACTGTCCTCTCACTTTTGTTTTTAGATCTTTGAGCTTAAAACTCCTTCCATTCAAACTATGCTGCATTTAAATATTCACCATCACTTGAATTCTCTTTCCACTCTTCTCAATCCAACATAGTCTCTACCTGCTGTACCAGATCTAAGGTAATGTGATGGGATCTATGTTCATGCTAGCACTATTTTCTTTTTCCTTCTAAGTTATCCTATCAAATAAAAAAAGGAAACATTCTTCCAAGTTTACCTTTTTGGGCTTAAGGCATAACGTTAAGTCACACATCATACTAAAGCTTAATGTTTGAAGTGTACAACTTTAGTGCTATCTGAAACCCTGTTTTACATTTTTGACAGTTGTCCAAACAGTTCATCTCTTTTCTTGCCATAAATTCTAATGTTGTTCGTGGTTTGTGCAATTCCTATGCAACCAGTCTTTGCTGCTAACTGGTATTAACAGTGCAGTACCCACAAAGCGGGCTATCAGTTCTTGTCATCTTTGCTTTCATTTCAGTTCAAAGCATGTTGCTTTATTGTGTGGAAGATCCAGTCCATTTTTGTTGTCCAGCCACCATGGTGAGCATCATTCATTTGCTTCATGAAGTACTCAAGAGCTTCCTGCTCAGTTTTGTCCAATGCAAGGGTCTTTCGAATGTATGCAATATCATCAAAGGACTGCAGTTCTGGCATTCCTGAGCCAAGCATCATGGAGAAAAGATTTATGAAGAGATTGGCATGCTGCCGAATTGCTAGATAAGCCTTGTAACACATCTCCTGAAACCTGGAAGAGACAGGGAAAAAAAGCTCAGTGTATTTCCCTATTGGGTGCATACTACTTCTTCACCTCCAAAACAGGTTTTGGGTAACTGGACACTAAAAAAAAATAGAGTGATAGTCTAATAAGAACACCATGATGTTGCTGAGAAATCCTACTTGGATCACCTTCATTTCTGTAAGAATTAGTAGTGGTCAGACTACACACAATGGCCAAACTGAAGATGGGCTTTCTAGCCTTAAACCTCATTTGCAACTCGCGCCAAGTATTCAACAAGTTTATCACAGTTCACACAGCCATTTTAGTCATTGCTACTAACACTTCAGATTTCAAAGCACATTTACTGATATACTGCCACAAACAGTGCTTTTCTCATTATCTTCAGAGATGCACTTCTCTCCTGTAGTTTTATTAGGGCAGTAGCTGTTACTCCTTAGGTACTCTGGAGAATGTGCTGAAGACAAAGGGCATTTGCTATATCACAATATCAGGCAAGAAATGCCCATTTATGCTGAAATCACTTATTTAAGTCAGGTTCGGAAAAAAATGCAAAAAGCTTCACTGCAACATTCAGACAGACACTATAACTTAAAATCTGTCTTCCTCACCCCCCAACATAATGAAATTAAGATTAAAACTGAAACCTCTCAAAGACTAGACCTCTGGAAAGACAGATATTAAGAATGACTACAGCAACAGAATTTTTTAAATTTATTATTATTATTTTAATGTTCTCCTTTCTTAGCAGGTTCTGCAGAATGTCACAAACTACACAGGCCAGCTGAAGAGCTGATATCACAGCAGCCATAGGAGACAGAAGTATTGCTGAGGGATCAACAAGGCTCTGATGCACATTACACCTGACATTTAATAATTCTCAGGTTTTGCAGTTAAAAAAATCCTCTTGGGATTGTATTAAAGTGTTAAATAAATTTAAAAAAAATCAGATATTTAAATATTTATCTTTATTCACATGTGTGCTGACTCTGCAAAGCTAAAATGAGGTTTCATGAACTGAAGGCCATGTAAGCGCCAAGATCACCTACTGATTTACAAGTGGATGGCTGATCTTCAACTAAAGAATTAGAACATACCCACTGCAAGCCAATTAAAATACTACTTTTCAGTTAAAGGGTCTAATTACTAAAGGTCACCAGTAGTAAACTGCAGGTTAGGTACAAAATACACTGGAAGTTAAATGCTTAAAAAAAGGCTCACCTTTCAAACTCCCTTGTTTTGGTACATTCTTGGGCTCCTTTACTAATCACTATTAAAAAGTCTTGTGTTAAGACAAATGGCACACGCTCTCTTTTATAACCAAATTTTTTCTTCTTGTGATCGAGGAAGTGCCCAAAGTCAATGTGAAACAGCTTGGAAAGACAGAAAGGTATTAAGATTAGTAATCCTGTGTTTAAATGATGTCATAGTAAAATTTATCATTTACTTATAGTTCTGATAGATCCCCCCCCAACAAACTCATATCAAAGTGACAGATGACATTAAGCTGTGTTTTTAGAAAAGCAGGTCTTACTTGTCCATCATCTTTTACCATGATGTTACTATTGTGGCGATCACCAATGCCCAGTATAAAGGTAGCAACACAGTAGCCAGCACAAGAACGTGTGAACAAGTCAATAGCTGCATCATACCTATTGAAAATAAAAAAGAGACATTTTCCTACAGATATTCTAATAATACAAAAGTGCAAATTTTTTTTTTTTATTTTTTTTTTTTTTTACTTCCCCCCCCATTAGGAAGGGCCAACTTCTATCTTCTCTCAATGAAGCAGAGTTCCTGGACTTTATCACTTTACCTAAGTAAGGAAGAAATTCAACATACTCTGAAAACACTAATACTTACAGTTAGATCACAGAACAGTAAACTAGCTATTAAAGTGACTGTCCTTCTTTTGAAGGCCAGCAGTTGTCATTGTGGTGAGCTCCTGTTAAAACAGACTTAAGCCTTATCATCGTAGTTCTACCTCCAACTTACACTTTAGTGCTGAGAAGTCACACAACCACCCAAACTCATTAAAAGAGCGACGAGCAGGAATACTAGGCAAACGAGGGCAGGGGGGAAAAAAACAAAGCCACAAACAAATGGACATAACTTCCCACTTCATGAACTTGAGTTCTCTTGAGGTTTCCATCAAAAAGAGCACATGAACAAGGAAAACAAGCAACAGGAAATCTCACATTTCTCCTTTGTTCTTGTCCTTGAGCCACTGATGCAATGTATGGCTGTTGAACTGCAATGCTCCTTTCAAGCCTCCTTTACACTGAATTTGCATGATCGTATGAGAGCTCCTCACTACCTCGATGAGTCCCACACAGTCACCAATAGACAAACAACCATAAGGCAACATCCTGAAAGACAAAAAGTGGGGTTTTTTTGTTCGTTTGTACAAAAAGTGGGGGTTTTTTGTTCATTTGTTTTTTAACAGAGTTAAGTTTTAAGACAGCAAGCAACAGGCATGTTTGATAAGGGTTATTAAGTAAGTGTCATCTGTTACTTTAGGATATGAAAATCTGTTTTAATGTTTTATAGGTGTATTATTTTTAGTCTTGTGGAAACAAAATGTACCAGATATTAGTACAGTAACATGCTGGCCACCGTATCCACCAATGTCATTCTTCAGTTTTACATCAAGACAAAAAGTTAAGGCAAAATTTTATTATCATATTCTTGGGAGGCCTTAGGGAATACACTGGAAAAATCCTTAAAAAGGCATTCAGCATGATTTAACAAGATCTATTCAACTATATTCAAAGTGAAGTACTAGAGACAGAATCTAAGCATTCAGAAAATGAATGTTAGGATTTCATGGGTTACTCTAAGTAAGTAGCAGGTAATATTTTGTATATAAAACCAGCATGGGACCTTCAGAATTAGTTTCTGAATAGTACCTGAACATATTACAAAATTGTAACTGGAATCTACAGTCAGCAACATTACAATTTATCCAGATGTTAATGGACTAACTGTAAAAAAGTATTTATTCACAGATTCTTTAGAGAACGTCCTAAATTTAAAAAAAAAAAGGATAACTCAAAGGATAATCTCAGTAGCCATTTTTCTCTTTACAAGTAGAAGAAATTAATCCCTCTGCCTCCCTTTTCTTTCACAGGTCTCTTTCCTCACCCTCCTCCAAAGTCTGTATTTCTTGTTACATTGAAAACATTTCATCTGAGAAAACCAAGTCAAAACTGGTCTTTTATTCAAAGACTGAAAGAAACATGGCCATTACCATGTTTAACATCCTATTAAAAGATCTGGGAGAAAAGGTCGTGTACCTAAAAACAGCCCTTTTCTCTCCTGAAGTTTCCTTTTTTGAAATGAAGCGTCACACCTATAGAGTAAAACAGCCTTCTAGGAACATTGGAGAATCAAAAGCTTTTTGTGTGCCATGGTAAAAAAAAAAAACAAAACAGAAAAAATAATCTATCATGACTTTGTATTAGACCTAAGAATCTGTGGAACATCAGTGCAGTATGTAGCCAGCAGCAGAGCTGACTGCTGGTGTTGCTGTGGAGGTGGGCTTCTCTCTGGATTAACATTACTTTATTTGCAGGTACTAAAAGTATATTTATATCTATCTATCTTTAGATCTATCTATCGACACTTGCATTTTTAGACAAAAGTCTGATGTGGAGGTCAAAGAAAAACAGTGAGACCCATATATTTTCTTAAGGATGTGGCATAAACCTTGGACTGTTAGACTTTATGTACCACAGAAAGATACAGTTCAGTGGCCTTAGTGGGATGAGTCACAATTTCTAGATCCTCAAAAGATTTTCTTTTTGTCCACTAGTATAATCTGTAGCTTGCTCAAGATTCAGAGTCCATCAGCTGCCTCATCTTGCACGCTCATTTCAGTCTTTCAGTAGAGCAGATGGACAGTTGCAAGGTTTATTTGATTTTCTTTTTTTTAAATCAGCCTGTCACTTACACCATACCTATTCAACTTCTCTTCTAAAGCTCCAATCTGCTCTAAGAAGAATGGTGGCAAGAGGTGGGAGAGGATGTATTTGTGAGGATTTCCACAGCTGACTACTCCTCAAGACACAGGCACGCACTGTAAACTTTAGCTCTGCAAACCATTCTTGGACGAAGCCATAATTCTGTCACTCATTACAGTACTAGAGACAAAATAGTTACCCAGACACGAGAGATGATATAGACCAATAAGGCCCCTTTGTCTAGATGAGGAAATGAGAACCAGGGGTGCAAAGAACATACTTGGTTTGACAGTGTAGAGGCAGCTCTGTTACACCACCACCTCAAAATCTACCACACAGCAAATGCAAATTTGGAAGCATAACCTGTCTAGCACCAGTTTTCTAGAAGCAGAATAGTTTATACTGAATAGCATTCTGCAGGAGCTATTCTACCCACAGACTATTTAGAGTTGGAGAAGCTGCATGTGTATCAGACTGGGTAATACCTAGTGTAGTGAAATGAAGATACCAACTACAAAGATTAATTGCTCAGAGCTGCAAGTTTGGCAACTTGTTCAAAGCAAATCCTACAGATACAATCAGCAGACCATAGCGTGGCCAGTGTGTGTTAGCTCTTGTATCCATTCCTGGTGTGTAGATCCCTCATACTCACTTGATTGAAACTTAAGTAATTTTCAAGTACAATCTTATCTTACAGAATCCAGTAGTTCAGTTAACCAAAAGTTATTAAAAAATTAAAAATCACTAACATGTACAAACATGCCTGTTTATAGCATTTCATCTATTACCCTTGGGAGAACAGAAGCAATCTCTGGTAACAAACCAATGCAAACCCCATTAAGAACAGTATCGCTTGAGAATGACCTCTAATGCTTACCGAAGATCAAGACCCTGGTTTTGCCAGATGTTTTCCATAATTCTAATTATCTGAAGTGTCAGCATGTCCTGACGCAAGTCTGGAATAGTCAAATACATACAGATTGTAAATTTCATAACACCAGAACACTTTGTTACATCTTATTTTACTTTTCCTTTAGACATACTTTTGGGGGAAATGAGGCTTGCATGGTTTAGTGTAGGTTTTGTTCTCTCAATAGAGAAAAGCAGGTTTTAAATAGTTGAGAATGAATATAAATTTGTGGTGGTGATTTCAAAGCTGTTTAATAATATACACTAAAACCATGACAATGGAATTACAGATTACACATCTATAATATCTTGAAGGCATTTTCAAGTAAAAAGAACAAAGTATTAAATAGCATCATGTTCCACCTCAACCAACTGAGCATCTTAGACCAAACAAAATTTGTACGTGACAGACAAATACTTATTTGTGCATGCTTAATTTTTCTGGAAAAGAAAATTGCTTTGCTCAGATGATTTTTTTAAATTTTTTTTTTTTAATATATGTATTTTAGAAGCTCAGAAAACATACTAAACAGTAGGTTAGGAAAACAAAAAGATATGTAGCTTTTGGATTACTCTTATTTTTCCTTACCGTCTCCATTTTTAAAGATTATCTCATTGTTCTGAAATAACAATTCAGACATAATATCTGGGTTTTCCCAGTTCAGCCACAGCGGCCTTTTTGCAGATGACATTATCCTGCACTCCTCAAGCCTATAAAGAGATAAGATTTCTATGAAACAGGCACAATTTGATTCTTATACCATGTTTCTGTAATACTCCTAAGTTCTCCCTGTTTTCTTCAAACTCTTTGAACTGGTATCAAATTAAAGATGCATGGGTAACCAACAATCAACCACTTATACTTTCAGCTTCAAATTTGAATTAGTAAGTGCAATGTTAACCATTTGCTAAGCCAAACAGAAGAGTTGGCTATATTGTAAATTTTCCTTTGGCAGTGTGTGTTTGTTACAAATGGAAAAAGGACTGCAGTTCCTGTCACCTTAAAGGAGCAGCCAACTGTCATGTTGTTCCCTAATTTGTTAAACCATTATATTGAAACTACTTCACCCTTTATGAATTACTCTGCTACAAATTTTATTCAGTTAACTTTGAAGATACTAACATTTAGTATGTTAACATTAACAACATTGAGGTTAAATGTTAACATTACTAAGCATTTACTTAAAAATCTAGACAAATTTCAAGACTGAAGACAATACCGAAGATTTCCCAGTTGATGCGCAGGATTAAGAGGAGAGATAAAACCTTGTAAAGCATCCATAAAATCTGGCCGTCTCATTTGTTCAACAAGAAACTTCATCTGTACCTGATAAATAATCACATTCAGGTTTTGAGAACACTAATTACATGTAAATGAAGGTAAGTATCAGATTTTAGCTTTGGTTTTAAAGCGTGGTTTTGCACAGTTCTAACATAAGCAACTCCACTTAGCCACGTATCACACAAATTGAAACCCTTAACTTTAGTTCTATTGCCTTAAGAGGTAGACAATGGCAATGCATACAGAAATAATACAGCTTCTAACATAGTATCTACTGAAGTTAGCATTAATACTTTTCTAGTTAATCAAATAAAACACAGTTCTAAGTAATTCCTGTGACTCAACAGCAACAGTTTTGGTACATGGACAGCTTATAATACCTTCTGGGTCTCATCTTTTTTTTCCTGCTTGAGAATATCTGTGAGGTTAATCAGCTTCTCCATAGCCTCCACCTGCCTGCTCAGATGCTTTAGGTACATGCCACACGCTCGACAATAGGACTCCAGAAGTAAACCAAACCTCTGACTTACAGTTTTATTGTGCATTTCAGACCTACACAGAGAGGAAGAACAGTTATAGCTTAAAGACAAGACCACTTAGAAGTGCCAAAAATGAAGCTATATCTGTAACATCTTCCTGGGGGCTGCTTATGGATCCTTCTTCTCAGGGAAATAGCTTGTATTGACCTCCCACAACTCATCTCATTTTGACTGGACTGATCAGACTTCAGTACCCTTTACAACTAATTCAGCACAGAGGTTATAGGCTTTTTCCCCATTCCTTCTTGCTCCATCCTGTCCTTCTCTACCCTTTGCCTTTATTCAGTGTAGTAAACCTCAAGCTTTCAATTCAAGTTCCAGATTTCTTTGCTGAGAGCAAAGCTAACCTGTTTCATTTTCTCCTTGTCTCATTTAGCCAATCCCAGGCTGCGGTCCCTCTAGTTTCCTTGTTCTTATCTACTCTCAGTCTTCGCACAGTCCTAAAATATATCCCCTCAGACAAGTTAACTGAGCAACTTATTCCATTATCCTTGATGATACCCACGGGAAGTAAAGAACTGAGAGCACAACAAAGATTCCTTGCTTCTATTTCTGCATCTGATCACACTATCTTACAACAGCATTTTTAGGTGAGACCTAGCTGCAATCCAGTATGCTGTATGCTCATCTATGCTCAGCCTTCTCAACACCAGGAATTACAAAAGCCCATGTTACACTTAGTAAGGAAGAACACCAAGATATTTGGGCTATCAAGCTCTACGAAGTCTTTGGGTGGTTTTCTTCAAGCCTCAACTATTTGTAAAATTTTCTGGAAAAGACTGGTGGGGGATCTGGCATGAAAAATAAAGTTGTAAACAGCTAACAATATGGGAGGCTTCCTGCAATCTTAAGACTACCCTGCTTTTAGAATAATCACCATTACATAAAAAGTAGTACAAGAGTAAGTATCTATTATTAACTAGCTTTTGAAACTGCAAGGGATAACTTCTGTTACCAGACTATGCATTCAAACTCTTAACCAATATAAAACAAACTTTAAGTGCTAATATTTTGCTAAGAAAGGACATTTAGTACGCCAAGCCTTTAGAACAGCTAACTGTTCACAGCTAATAGGAATTCCACCACCCCTTAATGTGATATTAAGCTTACTTTAAATGCCAAAAGAAGAAGTGTCCTATCCTTTGATTGGTCAGTGCCTTCTTGAGTAAAAATCTCACAAGCTGATTATCTAAATACTGTTCATATTTCAGAACCTAGTTAAGGATAAAAGGAAAAGAAAAATATCAGCTGCAGTTGTTATTTCTATGGACAATATACAGAGTAAAGGCAGTTAAATAAAAACTATATTTTACATTAATTCTTGTAGAATGACTGATCTTGGTATTAACACTTGCACGCGTTAGGATTTGAACTATATCTGCTAACAGCGCATTGGCTGCCTCTATTTCAAGAGCTTACCATCTGATGCTTCCTTTACTTTTACCAAATATTTTAGCCTCAACTTGCTCAAAGTTTTGAGAAGATGCTTCTGCTCATACCTTCCCATATGTTAGGATGGCTGAAATAGCTGCCTGTTCCAGTTGGTAGAACAGTTCTGCATCTCTGCAAAATTTTGGCATTTAATATCAACAAGCAAAACCACAGCACTACAGAAAGTGAACTACATTTCATCTACTCCTACTAAATAATCCACAATGCAAACAGGTACTTTTGATGACCTCTTTTCACATCATCTGAACTTTTGTTGTATTTTAAGCCTCTGTGATCATCGCATATACACAAGACATCAAGTATACCAAAATACGTTATGTACCTGTACTAGCTGGATTAAGTACTGAGACAGTTTGTCGTCTGTCAAGTACTTCTCTAGACACCGAACTGCAAAAGCTCGCACCATTGGATCTGGATAATTACAGTCCAAAAGCTCCATTGCTTGCTCTGGCTTGATTGGAGGCCAATCTTTTACCAAACAGTACATCTGCGGACAAGAAGCCCGAGCACATTACACACTTGCATTGATTAGGAAGAAGATGTAATACGCAGCTTTTAGAAGGTGTTGTCAGACACAAACTGCATCTAAGTAGAAGCTGTTTACTTGCCAGTCCTCTCTCAATAAACAATTTGGATTAGTTGCCAGCTGACTTGGTTATTTTATCAACTATAAAAAGAATGAAAACAAAACCTCACATTTAACTATAACTGACAAATCAGCAACATAAAGATTCAAGTAATGCCATCAGGAGGAAATCTTAAGACTCAGACTGAGCTGAAGAACAAGAACTATGGACCAGACTGATCAGTCAGTTATAGTGGCAACTTAAATCATCCAAGTTTTCATTCGATGTATCATGCACACATAACGTTTTTAACTTCCAGAAGATTTCTTTAAAATAGCATATTTTAAAGCTTCTTCAAACTTAGAACTAATTCAGTGCTTTATGTTACCTGGGCCACTTCATCTCTAGAATTCCATTTAACAGACAGAAGTAATTTGGGCAGAATTTCTGGAGTATTCACACAATAGTGTCTGTGGAAGAGAAAAAAGTTGTATGTACAAAATGTCATTTTTGCTTCAATAACCATCTACTATGTCCCCCTCAGTCTTGCAACTTTTTCTTCCTTTGTCAGCAGAATCCAAACAAAACCATAAGGTAGTGTCAGGATCCATGCATGAAGGTAACACTGCAGTAACGGGGAAAACGTAAGCAGATTCAACAACTTACTTTTCTCCATGGGCTTATGCACCAAGACATACATTGCAGAATGCTTTAGAAAAGGCTTTTCTAAAACACTAACCCCAACAATACAAAATAAAAAAAAGGGAGCAAAACCAAAGACAATAATGAAAAATTTGGAGTGAACGGGGTGAAGTTTGAATGTGACAACATGGGTTTTACTTTGGTTTTTTAGGGGTTTTTTTGGGGGGGGGTGAGGGAGGGGTTGTTTGGTTTTTTGTTTGTTTTTTTTTTTAAATACCTGTGGCTCCAGAGGAAGTCCTTCTCTTGCTCAGTGATTTCAGACAAAGGATCTCGTGTACATATGGCTCGCAGTTGTTCCTTATCACTTTCTCTTAATTCATTATCTCTAGCTATTCTGTTACTCTGCAGAGAGAAAGTGGTCCATTAGCCCTCCACAGATTTCTTTCTGTTGTCATACAGCATACAGGAAGTATTTTAACAGCGTAGCAACACTTAAACTCTGTATCATGCAATACTATCTTGTTGTTTCCTTTTGTTGTAACTGAGGACTTATAGTTTAGACAGAGAGAGATGAAAGACCAGGCCTTTGATTTCTACAACCACTTTTAGTCACTACTGGGACAAGAAGAGGTACATTTCAACTAAATCAGCTGTGTGGAGAAATAGCAACAGTTGACATCTGATGAACACCACAATGCAGCACAAAATGAAACTGGTCATGTCTGTCTCCAGTTTTGAGATTGTTGAGAGCTGCTGAAAGGAGTGAAAGAATCAGAACTGAAAAAGCAGAACATGGGGGATGAAGCTAGGTAAATAAAAGGTAGAACACTGTAGGAAAGCCTGAGTAACAGAAGACTGGAAAGCATCAACCAGAATTAGTATAGGATATTCCCCCAACAGCACAGAAAACAGAAATGGTACACACTGAAATTAATTTTATCTAAGACTTCATTTATTATAACCAGCTTAGACCAATGGCAGAGGTATTGAAACTACTACTACTTGATTTTTCACAGCTCATGTGCCAAGTTCAATTTTTCTCCTATACTTTCCATTTCTTAGTTCATTTAATATGTTTTTCACAAAGCAACATATGAAATGATGCAGTTTTTGAGGTTTCAACTACAGAATCAATTGCACAGCAAAAAAGAGACATCGTAAGCACCTGATGTTATAGCCTTTGGTATAAAATACAACTGTAATTAACAAGTTTGACACTTAAGATGAAGCTATCCCAAAAATTGTACGGGAGTTGAATAATGGTTTTATAGTGAACTCATGTTTTCACACGTGTTTGATACCTACTACTACAAAAGAATAAACACTTTTCCAAGTTCAAATTGTTTAAACTGTAGAACCACAGTATTTGACCTCTTGTTCTGCTCTTTCCCTTAGCAATTTTTACTAAGCACATTAAACAAGATAAGCAAGAACAAACTGAGCTTTGTCTGACAGTTTTGACAACAGAAATTTTCAACTGGTTGAACTAGTACTTCAAAACAGAAATACCTACATGTCTTTTACAGAAAGTCTTTCCAATGTATCTAGCTTAAAAAAAAAAAAAGAGCTGAAGAACAATGTGAAATTTCCAGGAAGGAGATCAAGGCACCCTTTAAAAGGCGGTGTTATTTTTAAGAATATGCACAAATACAGAAACAGTTGTCAGGTTATACCATGATACAATATCTACTTCAGACTGAAAGTTCCCTACCTTACATTTATCTTTAATTACATAAATTATGTGTTCTCATGATGGGTTCACTACTACTATATGGGAAAAGAATATTCTGGCCTTCAAGCTTTCATCTACCAATATTAAGGTATGAATCAACCAACTCACAGGGTTTTTAGTATCTTGCCCTGTTAGTAGTGTGATAGCATGATATCTTAGTGCACCAACATGGTTTTATTACTGTTCTCAAGCACATGGACTGAACTTAAAGGTGGGAGGAAATTATTCAGGACTACTCTGTGGCACAGGAAAATTTTTAGAACACATTCTTAAATATTATGGTAACAGATACAGTGCAAGTAGCAAAGCCAGAGTCATTCTGTAAGGAAGTTAATGGATAATGACTTTATAATCAGCCTGCTCCTGACCTAAGATCAAATAGTTCATATTGAACAAGCAATTAATTGCACATATTCATCTTGATTCTGAAAGAGTCATCCTAAATAGTAAGTGAAAGTCAAAAAAGTATAAAATGTACCTGCATAGTGGGTCAGAAAGATCATAGTTTAGGTCAAGCCCAGTAGGAAAATGCATTTATCCTGTTGCGGTCAACACCAAAAACTTGAAATTCTATGAATTGTGGGACAGTAAGTTAGATTTAATATTTGAAAATTCTTTCATATTTGAGATATTAATGGACCTATAAATGATCTCTTCTAAGTATGTATTAATGGATTTTAAATGCAGTGTAATGCATTTCAAGGTTAAACAAAAAAGTTACGCTCTTTGTATCATAATGAAGACATTTATATAGAATTCATACCTCAGTGACTGCTTTGCTGATTTTGACCATTTCAGTCGAGCATTTTTTACCTCCTTCAGATATGGCCAATGCTACATACTAATCCAGTATCCAATTTCTGAATGAGTAATAACACATTGCCTTTTAACTACCTAAATATAGTTAACATTACAAACAGCTATAAATATGCACAGTACCTGAATATAGAAAGTTTGGCTTCAGACCTGAAGATACCACACATTAAAAGATAAAGGGGACAAACACAATACTAAGAGATAACTAGTGATGTTAAACTTACCAAGCATTTAATGAAATATGATTTAAGAAAGGATAAGTAATAAGAGGATTTCGGCAGACAAGGAGGGTTGAAAGAAAAGCAGCATGAATAATGAGAAAGTGAGACCAAAGCAGTGATACACAGTTTGCTTCCCTGTCAACTTAGTCACTGATGTAAATAGGCTTTCTCCATGTCTAACCACTAGACCTTCTTTTATGGTATTGTAAGGATTACCACAAAAAAGACATAATTTGAGACTTTATTCTACCTCAGAATTTTGGTTTTTTTAATTGTAAAGAGTAAGTTGATCTTTACTTTGTCACTGAAGTGAGAGCTTATTCTTCTCACCATTTTCTACTTTTGCCTACAGATGGAACAAAACAATGAGTTGAGCATATACAAGCCCAGGTAATAGGCTGTGTTATAGCAAAGGAATGTTATTTACCAAGGAGGCAGCTGTCCTTAAACATTTATTAAGAGCCCTGCAGCACTGCTCATCACAACATATACCATAAGCAGATATGCCACTCTAAGATGGACTTCCTGTAGAGTATCAAGAGAAATCAAATGCCTACAACCCTTTGTTCAAGATATGTTGAGATGGGACTGTTATAAATATCACCAGAATTCCCAGACTGGAGGCTTACTAACACCTACACACTTTTTGGTACAGCGAAACTTTCCACCCCGAGACTCTTCTTCACACAGACCACAATGCTCTCATGGGGAAACTCTCAAGTCTTTGAACCAACCTCCAGTAGAAAATGTAAAACATACCAACTAATTTTACAGCCTTGTCTTTAAATACATAGCATTTTTAGCCTTATTGCTTTTCTTTTTTCTCCTTTTAATCATCCAACAAGTGCTTTTAAGAAAGTGCCAAACCTCACCAAAACGCCAATCATCAACACACAGGTTCTCTCCGTAGAAGAGGGGAGATAAAGGACTACACTCGTGTATGCCAACCAATTCCCTTAAAATTCCCTGTACTTATGGTCCTAACTAGCCCATTAAACAGCCAGTAAAGAGTTATAAGCACCTTTGGATTACACAAGAAAGCCCATCTATAAACAGGAAATTGTAACAAAGAAAAATAGCATCACTGAAGGAGAATGACAACTTTTGGAAAGTTAAATTAAGTAGTTTAGACATCTGAATTAGCGATATAAAAATGTCAAAAATGCCCTAACAGTTTGCACGGTAAGACAGTTTCTCTTTAAAGTGTTTTCGTTGGTCAGTGAAGCATTAAAGAAAGGAAAATATATTACTCACTTTGCTAAACACAAAACAGAAAATTGATTTCTTGATTTTACAATAAATCAGGATATAAGAAAAAAGTTTTCTTTATCATTACTATACTGAGTAAAATAAGTAATTAAAGTAGTAAATAATACTTTCATATTTTAGTAGCTAATCTTGGAAGGGAGTTTGCCTTACCAGCCCCGCATAGCTGTAGTTAAACCCCAGTTCACGTGATATAGTCCAATTGGCATGCTCTTCGATCACCGTCATATCTGGAAATTTTACAGGATTGCTAAACCAATCAAATTCCAGCTCTAAACATGGAGTTTCCTATGTAAAGGAAATTTAAATTACTTCTTCTGTTGAATGATACTAATTAGAATACAGCATATTTTGAACATGTACTCTTAAGGAGGAAGCTCGCATGCAGATAGTTACCTTATTTGGATTCGATCCAGTAACACCAATAGGATTCAACAAATCCTCCAGCCCATGAGGTACTGCCCAAAGATTCAAAGCCATTTTCCCAGATACAAGAGTGTCTGTGTAATCAAACATGTTTATATTTCCCCAAGCCAATGGACAGTGCTCCTTAAAGAGATTAAAAGATGATTTTTCAGGGTCATCTATTAATTACTGCAGAGTAAGTCAGGAGAAATAACATTTTCACCCCAGAGCAAGCTGTTACACTCCCAGATTAGCAGAAAGCAGGTTGTGGAAGCCGTACCATATTTTTCTATCAATGACTGTCATGGCAGTCATTTTGCAAAATGATATCAAAACACGTGCAAACACATGCTAACATATTCCTCACATCAAAATAACTCAAGATGATGGAAAGAGGGTTTTGGTTTTTTTTTTTTTTTACAAGACAGAGACTTTTCACCAAGGCCTGTAGTGACAGAACAAGGGGAACAGTTCTAAACTGAAAGACAATAGGTTTAGATTGGACATAACAAAAAAATTTTTTTTTATAAGGGTGGTCAGACACTAGAACAGGTTGCCCAAAGAACTTGTGGATGCCCCACCCATCCCTGGAAGTGTTCAAGGCCAGGCTGGATGGGGCTTTGGAACAACCTGATCTAGTGGAAGGTGTCCTTGCCCATGGCAGGGGGGTTGGAACTAGATGATCTTTAAGGTCCTTTCCAACCCAAACCATTCTATGATTCTCTAAGATTCGTAAACCTGGTTGTAGACACAAAAACTATATAGTACCTATGACACACACTCAAACCCAGAATGTAATGGTGGCTAGAATTAGATGCAATACATAAATTCTTAAAAATTACTGTTTGAGGTCTTGCATCAAATAGTAATGCAACACAAGTTGTCTTTACTTTAAAAATCAACTCTAAATTCAAGTATAAATATTGCCCTTTTTTAATAAATAGGTAAGCAACATATGGGTTTAGAAACTTGAGTTTAAAGGCATTTGCACCCCAAAACACTAACAATGACCTTTGTGTCTGGCAATACAGTACAGACAGTGTTGAACTGATAAGCTTTTTCCCCGTGTTAATTTCTGACCACAAAAAAAGGTTGTAGTCAGAATAAGATACAAGAAAAGAAAAAACTCCTATTTTAATCAGATTCAAATCAAACATTGCAATAAGACTCATTGTCAGGAAAACATTTACCAAGTATCTTCCCAAACTTGACTTAAGTAACTTTTGTTTGTCAGTGTATTAAAGTGTATTAAGTATTTTACCTCTTTAGCACCCTTCCGGCCTTTAACAGAACAGATAGAAAGGCAGAGCCGAGCAGCACGTGGAAGATCAGGAATGTACATGTCATACAATAGCCATTCATTCCATCTGTAAGATTAAAAAGCAGAATAAAACCAGGTTAAAGGAGAGCATGGAAAGAACTTCATCCAATCAACAGTTATACTAAAACCCATTTGTTATATTCCTGCCTAAACTGTATACGTGTATAAAGAGTACACTTTCTTACTGAAGAAGGGTCCTCCTACGTGCATTTGACACCATATACTCCTTTGGGAATGGAAACTTCCCCAAATAGCCTTCTAACACCAACACTGTTTAAAAAGTCATGCTAGATTCAATTCCTACAAACGTAGTAATAGGTTCATTCACCTTCACTCTTGCAACCCTACTGGCTGCAACTGTCAGCATAGGTACAACCTGAAGATAATGGATTTGCATATGTGCTACATTAATGTAAGGTTTACCTTGTGAAATTATTTTCCACTTCGGGGAAAAAAGCAAGTGGGAAAACATGTGGCATAGCTTTCAGAACTCAGCTAAATTTGAACTGCTGGGAAATAAAAAAATAACTGCAAGATGGGAATATAACACAGAAGTCTAACACAGCAATCCAAAAGAATATTATTTGAGTTAGGAATATTGCATTTATCATAGTAAAAAGAGCACAGATTTGTTCTACTGGAATAAATATTTTGTTTTCATGAACTTCTCTAAGTAGACTTTATCTCTCAGTTGGTAGAACTGTGCTTTTGAAGAGGAACTTTTGAATACAGTTTTTCCTAAGTGGATTGCCATGCTGTATTTCCTCAGTTGGAAGAGGCAGCAGCTTCCAAGGTCAGCATTAATTTTTTCAATGTGTCTGTAGCTACTAAAAGCAAAGTTTTACAAAGAAGTAACTGTCAAAGCTCTTCTCTAAGAAATTGGCAGATAAACCTCAATTCACTTTTCTTACATGTTCATTTTGTATAATACAGATATGTGTAATTATATCCATGTTTTCAAGCCATACCTGTCACCACCTCTCCAAGAAGATTTTCTCTCTAAAACAGTTAAAACTATCAATTCAAGTATAGCTATATTTGGGGAAGCTCAGAGGAAGAAGCTATTTTTCAACAACTGTGTATATTACTAGGCCCTCTAATTATAAAACCTGATTATATTCCTAGAAAATGTACAGACAAAAAAGTTTCAAAGTGTATTAAGAAAGACGTGAAGTCAGACAAAAAATGCAAGTCAAAAGTTACTTCTGAACACATACTTTGCATCTAATCCTAGCAGACACTGAAATTTCATACCTCCTCATTAGTCAAAGTTACGAGAACATCTTTTAGATATTTGTTCTCAAGATGTTTATATAAGCTCATATAAAACTTCTTTTTGCACTTTTAAGTAGATGCATTTTTCCAGATATTGATGGTAGGTCAATTCTCCTGAAAATAAATCAGCCCAGATCTGGCAGTCACTTCCATGTTCGCAAATGATACCCACCTCTCCATACTCAGTGGTTCTGATTTAGAACATACCATGCAACCTCAGTGAAACAAATTTGCAGGTTACCTGACATCGCATTGCCTCATGCTGAAAGTGAAATCTGAACCTGCAACTGGAACACCTGCTATTGATCCACAGTCAAAAACAGAGCTCAGTCACCCAGAGCTATGCTCATTTCACAGTATTAATGAGTAATAATGTTGGAGTTTGAGGCAACTGTAAGTGCACATGTGAACCAGATCTGTTCAGTAAATAAACTATACGAGACACAAAAATACTTGTGTTTGAATTAAATTACTTCTATTTATAAATATAGGGATATGTAAAAATATTTTTACAAAACTTAAGGCAAGGAATTCCCACCAAGGAGCTCTACCTGAATAATGGCTAAGTCAAGCCATTACTCCTTCAGTGCTATCATTTATGATGCCCTGGAAGTCAGGTCCTCTATAGTCATTCAAGTATTTAGCTTACCTGGGATTAGAACAAGGTACCCTTTGAGTATTCACATTGTCACACAAAGGTTCCCCTCCATGGTAGATACCTGTTCTAACATAGATCTGAAAACAATGTCATGTTAGTACTGTCTTTGAAACGTTACTGTACACAAATTTTTTCACTGCTATCAACATATACTATGATTACAACATATTATCCTTTTATTTTCATCAAGTAAAAAACAAAAACAAAACTGAAAACCGAACAGCCCCACCACTCCCCAACCCAAATTCATTCATGCTCTGTAAGGTCTGAAGCATACTGTATAAGCATACCCTTCTAGAAAAAAGTGTTTTGGTCTTTTTTCCTCATTAATTGCAAACTAGTTTTTAAAAAAATACAGTAATAAACTTGAAATGAACACTAAAAAACCCTGGAATTTATTCTCAATTCTTCATGTGTCAAGGCATAGTGGAAAAAAAAGACAGAACAAATTCTAGGAAAGTTAGAGAGCCAGGCTTGTAGTATGTCTTCGATGGAATTGAATCCTACCCACCTTTTCTCATTAATCTCCCCATACCTCCTTTTTCAAAAACAAAGATAGCGGCACACTACCCAGCATCCCCTCATCAAGAGTATTGCCAATTACTGTAATACATTCTTACACGTAATAATTATTTAGAATATAGATAGCAACATAGGTTTTGTTTTTCTATCCATTACATACTTGGCTGAAGTGAACTATGGAAACTGAGTCCTGCTTCTACCAGGCAGATTGTTTAGCTAAATACCACAACTCACACTTTTTAAGTAGTATACAAAAGTTTTCAGATGCTAAAACATGGCTGTATTTTTTAGAATCAACTACTTTAACAGAAAAGAAAACTCAGGAGGGAAACCATGAGCTGCCGAAAACCACATGTGATGCCATACAGCATTTCCCTTACCTTATCTATGTCTCTAATGTTCACATTTACATAGGTTGCACAGAGGATTCTTATTCTGAGAGCGCTATTTATAGTCCAGAGGGATTTGGCTGTAGCTTCTCCATTCATGTAGGGTGTAGCTGTAGAGATACGCCTGGAATAAGATGGCATTGTAAAGGTGTCCAGTGGCAGCTGGGTATATAGGCTTTCCTTAGCCATCAGCATCAGATTGGGCATGCGACCAAGCATTATACAGCTTCTTATATACTGCAAGAAAACAAAACCAAAATCCAGTATGTTTGAAAGTTTACACTCTTGGTAATCTATACATAAAATATTCAGGAAAATATAAAAGTAAAAGCATATTTAAAGAGCTTATTATTGTGTCTGTATGTACGCCCTTCACAATGTTTATAGTTATAGCATCCAACAGTTTAAGTACATTGCTAGGTAGGATCGCACAGCAGCGCTTCATACAGATTTTGAGATACGAATAGCATCTAACAACTGTGGAAGGTTGAACTGGAGACAGAAAACAGAGCTGACAAAATGACAAGTCAGGCTTCTTGTAGTGCTCCTTAGCTCCAGCACAGTGCAGCACAAACAAAGCAGACTGCTTCCAGATTAGAGCTGTTCCTGGAAGCAGCCGAGCTGCTTTTGCATAGCATGCTGTGGTGCAGACCTAGCACAGGTCACACTGATACTCCTCGTCACAGGCAGAGAGCACAAGACAAGTGGCAGACACATTAATTTTTGGTTCAGTTGTGCTTATTAGCTTACGCTCAGCACCGACCCCGACAGACTCTAGCTGTAATGGTGTCCGTTCAGGACTGAGTGCTGAGAGCAAGTAGTCTGGCAACAGTACCACAAAACACAATGCGTTAAGACAGGTCCAGCCCTGGAGTGTAATTAGCAAGCTCTTTTGTGGCACAGTAAAGGCATAGCAGATACTTCTGAAGAAACCATGCTAGATCAAATAGGTCCAGTGTTTGATCTCAAGATGACTGTGCAAAATTATTCACATATGCCTGCACTTGTTCCCCAGCTCCCACAGAACAGAGCTGCTTTTCCCATTATTCAGGATCCCCCCAGCCCCCTTCTCTCCTCCATTGCCCTGGAAGGCAGATCGTCAACCATTTTAGATGAAGGAATGGAAGCTGTTTATTACAACAATACATTCCTCAAAGAGGAAGCAGCAGCAGTCTGTCAGGAAGTCTACAGGGTAACATTGTTGTCTGCTCCAGAGAGGGCTGCTCAGATGCTCTTCTGTCAGCGGTTCTGTCTTACACTCACAGCACTAACAAAACCCAGGCAGTGAAGGACAGACAGCCACAGGGAAGACTTAACAACAATTTGTTTAGTGCTGGAAGTTTATCACTCCTTTAACAAGATCAAAAAATTTAAAGACGTAAGTAACAGGAAAACAAACAGTTTGTTTACTTTTTTCCCACCCCTAAAGGGGGAAGGGACAAGATTCATAGTAGCAACGGTTGCCTCAATTTAACATCTGATTGAATTTCCTTTTGTATTACATCAACGCCATTCAAGCATAACTCATCTCTTGCGATCAGAAATCTAAGCTATTTCTGAAAGTACCTACCACTGTTTTATCACTAATGTTAGAGGTAAACTACTTTATTCAAAGAATAAAAATTACACTAGTGACATAAATTCTAGTTTAAATTACCTTTACACACCCCCCCTTGACGCATATACAGCAACAAATATGCACATTACACTCATGCATTAGCCAATTAGTTTAAAGATACACGCAATTTTACTTCCTATGTTTTGGAATAATTTAGTGAAAAAGCAAGCCATTGATAAAATTGATCACACCTCTCCCCCACAAAGTTGGATTATTTTAGTGTATTTCAAAGTAAGTCCTGTTATGTTACTCACCTTATACTGGCTCAGTGGATATTTTTCCAGCAAGTATTCATCACAGCCACACACTTTTAAAATATATTTGCCCTGGTACTCCAAGACGCAAAGTTTCAGTTGTTCAGATGACAGCAACATACTTCGCGTTTTCTTCCTAATTGCTTCAGCAATAACTTGCTCAGGCACACAGTCATGATTGATTTTTAAGGTGTATTTCTGCTTGTCATTGTTTGGTGAGACTATTACCCATATCACCACTATAATTTGCCCTAGAATAAATGTAAAATAATGTTAGGCCTATCATTTTCAATACAGTTTCAAAACTAACAAACCAAAAAAAAACACCACCGCAAAACAAACAACTGTCACCCCCTCTCACCACAAAGGATTGCTTGCAGTACTACTGAAAGAAGACGTAGACAAGATTCATAGCCTAAACTGACAGAGGGTTTACAACTTCTACAAGGAACTACATGTGCTCAGTTTATTTTTTACTCTAGTGTAAATTCGAACTTCTACCCCTTGAGGTTAAGAATATTTTTATTAACCAAATACTACTGACTACTTAGCCTTCAAGAAAACGGCAGTAACCGTTCCACATTTGAGGACTGCAAGATAACTCGGTGATTCAGTATCATTTAATTCCACATTACTGAATGTCAGAGGAAAGAAAAATACAAGGCCAACAAGCCATTTCTGCCCATTAAAAAAAGTCACCTCTATTTACCAAGTTATATTTCAAGATTCAGTTATTAAAATAGCAAAAAAATGTAATTTTAAGTTTTGTTGTCTTCCTTTTGAATCTACACTGTATCAAGAAAATGATTCTTAATAACTTAAGGTGTAAGATACTGCTAGAGTGTACTAAATACAGCACGTAAAACAGTCATTTACCTAAGTCACCAGCTGTACTCTGATTTCAATCACTGAAAAACATTGTTTCTATCGTAAATATTTATCTTACCTTTATCTAGTTTATTGTATATATGTTTGGGTAGCTCAGGTGAAGACTCTACATTTGGAGGACAGACATATAGCGCTCTACTATGTGGTGCATTGGCATCTCGAAGATCCACTGCTTCTTTACAAACGTTAAGAATATTTCTTCTGAAGTCTTGTACTTCCGGATCCTTAACCATGTCAAATTCACAGACAGGCATGCCGATAGCAAAACCTACAGTATTGAAGAAGCATGAGGAAATAATTGTAACTGGTAATTAAAGCTAAAGATTCCTTCTATCAGTGACAGAAAAAGCATGCTTTAAGCAAAACACACCTAAAATATTTGTGTCAACCACTGGCTTCTACTTGTATAATTGTTTTATTTCATTCAAGAACAATTCAGTTCTAAAGTTAAGTGCACTCTTCAGTCACAAAAAAGAAGACAGGTGTACATTCACTGATGATCCTGGAAGCCTTAAATCGCCACTCTCACAGCTAACACTCCTCCTGAAGGAAAAGGACCAGTAATAAACTGCAGCACAAGGTTTCTGAAGTGGACCAGAGGACCCGTGATGTCCAATTTTTTCTAAAACCCTAGCAGGACTATTGTAGCTATTAGGACCATAATCAACTTTGCTTACAACTGAATGACAGCTATTCAATTTTTTGATGAACTACTATTTAAAAATGTGACAAGCACTCCAAGAGATATTGAACTTAGCTCTTTGGCATAGTGTCATGTAATAAGAGTCCATTTCTCTCAGGTCCTCTGTCTCAGATTAATTCCATTTACTTTAATGAGATCACTTGCATATATAATCATTTATGCATGAATGTTCAAATGGAACCTTTCAATCGTCCTGTTGCATGGTTAGCTAACCACTGTTCTCCCTAAGTCTTGAGCAGGTTAAGCTTTACAAAACAGTTTACCTATGATGCATTCATAACAATTAAATAATGTAACAATTAGGAGCACCCCAGAACAAGTATTTCCAGTTGACAAGTCTCTACCACTGCAATGTACATCTGCTAGCAACTAAAAGGGAGTAGGTATGCTTGTAGTGCCTGAATTTAGATACTTAACCTAGATGCTGAAACATACACTAGCCTCCCTGTGCTTTCTCAGTGGATAATGGAAAATTATAAGCTACTGCAGAGATGATTCAAAACATTACAATTTGTCTCCCCTCTGCCCCTCCAGCCTCAGGTGTTTTTGTTTCCCTTCCCTCCCCATACTCTTTTTGTAGGAAAGGAGAGGGGGGGGAACACCTCATTTCTGAAATTTTACTTTCTAAGCAAGATAGAGCAGTATTAAAACGTGTTCTATCGCAAATGTGGTTTAAGATTTGTAATTAAATCCAGAATTTTCAATTCTGTAAACTTCAAAACAAATTAAGATTGACTTCCCAAACAACAGAACGGGCTTTGCTCTGCAATAATACGAAATCCTGCTAATAAGAGACAAGTAAAAAGTATCTTCTAACCCACATACAACTACAAATACGTACAAAGCAAAGACTTTACATGTGAATGGAACAGAACAGCAAAAAAGTTTAATTCACAGTTTACAAATGTCAACTTTAGTATGATCAGCATCTTTGCACATTTCATGCAACAACTGACAGTTACAAAATGTAAACTTAGATACACATAACAAACAACCCATTTCGATTCTTTGTTTTGTATTTTGAAGAGAAGAAGCCCGTTAAACAGATTAGCTGTGGTTAAATAAAGATAATCTCACCTATTTCTCTATTAAGAATCTTTTCTTCTCTGTTACCTACTGGTTCAATGACTTTTAGAAAAGGCTGAAATAGTCGCAGGTCACAAAGTCTCCGTGTTTCATCAAAAAATTCTTCTCTTTCTGCTTCTTGCGTAACACTTACAAAAATGTAAGAAGATTCATCTTGAAGGAGCTGATAGAGAGGGTATTTTCTTGCTTCTTTGAAGAGTTCATGTTTAATAGTTAGTAAGGTGGCCTCACGGAGGCATTCTAGAGTCACTATCATTCCATTTGGGAGAAGACACTCCACAAGGATCCTCGGTGGCATCAAGTGGATGCCCCATAGTTCACCAGATGATGGTCGTGGAGGCATTTTTAAGTCTTTAGATAACTCTGTACTGTAAGTTTTTCAAGCAGTGATTCGTATGAGTAAACCTAAGTAAAAATCAGAAATTTAAATGTTAAATTTAAAATATGACCATCACAAGGAATTTCAGACAAAATTGTTCAAACATCACTTATAACTGTAGAAGAATATTCATGGGCATATTTTACATACATTTGTTCAAACTGATGTCTAATGAACTTGTATTTGATGTAAATATCTACTCAAATGAAACAGTTAATAGCAGGATCACATTAGTTTGGAAAAAAATGCCAATATGCATATAGTCTTTAAAAAAATAGAGGCTTTTTTAACCCCAAGTTTATAATTTACAATTAGAACACTTAAATAGCATGGGGGATGAAAATACCTAATATTTGAATTATTATTACAGCAATTTTAAAACAAATCTCAAACTCAGTTCTTCACATTTTTAATTTGGAAAGAGAAATATTTATCATTTGGATGAGATACAAACCATCAGCTCTGCCCAGCTTCGCCAAACTAATGCTTCAATTTTTTTTACATTTTTTCTCATCCCAAACCTCTTAAGTATTCAAACAGCACTAACAACAGTTATAAGTATTTACTAAAACCCTCTAAACTTGATTTTAAGAATCCATGTACACATAAAACTTGGCCTTAGCTTTTTGAGATCAGTATAATCTACTTACACCAGCAACAAACCCTTTTCTCCATGTATGAGAAAGAAGAACTGAGCTCCATTAACACTTTTTGGTTGGGCTTGTTTTATTTAGAATCAATTCCCTGTTCTAGTTTCGTTTGGCAGCCACACAAATGTCTTTGCCAAGCCAAAGGAAAGGAGGGGAACACTTGTCTGACCTTCTAGCAGCACTGCCTTATGCCACCTTAGAGTAGGTACAAGAAAAATTGTATCTGGACAGAGCAGAGATGTCTTATAGCCCAGTGGCCAAGAACAGATGCCAAAAAAAGAGCAGAAGAGAGAACATTCCATGTTACAAAATATTTGCTTTTCTTTGTTCTGAAGCCTGCTACTTTCACCTGATATCCTAGATTTCTTGTAATGAAATGAAGTTCTTCACCTTTGCATTCATTGCTCTTAATTCTAGAGATCCATCAAGTCCTCCCCACTACTACTTTTCCATAATAGTCCCAGATTATTTAGTCCTTCTCTGCCCAAAAGTCATTCTATATTTTTGTTAATCCTTGTCACCTTCTCTGTATCTCTTCCACCTTTACCATACCTTTTTTGCCAAGTAGAGGGGGAACGACTATATTTGCACACTACATTCAAGATCCAAACTGAGCACACATTTACACAGTGACTTTATATTTTCTACTGCTTTCCTAGTAAGTTGCTTTTCTGACCATCACTGAGCAGCAAGGCATTTTCACTGAACAACATACCATAGACCTAAGCTCTCATTGCAGAATAGTAAGTTACCACAAAGGCCATCATACATTATGCAAATCTCAGAGTGCATTACTTATACTTAGCCTGTAGTTTCATTAACTTCAGCATGTACATTATGAGAGAGTGTAATAACATCAACAGACATCTAATGTGCAGTCCATCATCCACATGCCTCCTCCATCAACCAAGTGTCCTGAAAGCACAGGGCTAGGATAACTACAAGGCTACTATTCTAAAGCCATTCTTTGTCACCTTTTAAGTCAAACACCCTCTTAAGACTGCCCCTCTATCTTAGTTTCTTAACAGAAAGGAGGGAAAAGCCCAAACCAACAGCTTCACATCTCTTCTGTTTCACCAGCTTTCTGAAAGCTCTCACTGTGGAAAAGCAATGAATGCTATGCTTGCCCTTTGCTCAGCAATTTTTTTTAACAGATATATAAAAATACATTTTATGTGTACATATAAAGTTATAAATATATTTAAAAATTCTATATATGTCAAAAAATAAAACCATGATTCTCATTTCTGCACTTCTATGCCTTGGTACTTATTTTCTGAAAAGTCTTCTTCCAAGTACATCCAGTACCTGCTTTTGCCACACTTCAGTTCTTAAAAAGAAGTATTAGAATGAAAATGGTGTTTTCCCAAATCCACAGCTTCCTAAGCAACTCTAAGTAGCAATAGGGTTGTCTTTTTTTAATCCCTCCTTTGTAGTTGTAGTTTGGGCTTTTAAAAATATCAACAAAAGTACTGAAGTGCCACTGCAGGTTTAGAAAAATGCTTTTCCACTAACACCTCATGCATATTTAGAAGGGCTTTGCAACTGACTTTTTTAAAAAGAGCTTAAAGAAGCTATTTTATTTTCCTCATCATTGTAAGAGTCGCAGTGAGCAGATGCTGAAACGGAAAGTTCTAAGCACACTCACAGTGTATTTAAAAGAGCCAAACTTGGAAAGCTTACCAATTACAGAACATTACAAATGAACCCAAATAACACCATTTAGAGTAACTTGGAGAATTCTGGATTACTGATAACTATCCTCAGTTTACAGATAAAAAGAAATACACAGAATGTTAAATAGCATCTTTTTGACTGAACAAAGCATGTATGGAGAGGGAGTCTTGTTCGAGTGAATCACATGCTTATTTGCATTTCTTAATTACAAGCATAGGCAGAAACACATTACTGTTAAGACATATACCAGCATTAAAAAAACCAAAACAAGAACATGCAGTCATAAGAACTTTTCTGTCCACGCATACAAACAATGATAATATAGATGGACCACAATCAAATTAAATATTCACAACACAGACTGAGTTTATACCAGCAGTCTTTTAAGTTCTGTTCCACAATCCTGTTGAGGCTCCTCTGAACAGATAGTTTTAAGAGCCCATCTTCTCCCTGCCCAAGGCATGTGTTCTCATTCTTCATCATGCTGGCACCAGTGCTCCTTGAGCCAGCTTGTTACAGGGTCAGATGGATTAAAGTGGCAGAAAACGACTCACTTTTCCTTTCTTGGGCTAGCTTCTGCTGGTTTAGCTGCCTTATTGAGATCATCATGGAGTCAGAGGAACACCAGCATCCACACAGGGGACTGAGCATGACTGCAGCAGTGCTGAGCTAGTTCAGCTTCAAGAATGGTGGTTCCTTCCACTACAACTTTTTCCTCCCTCCCCACCAATAATTGCAAATAAAGAAACAGAGGCATGGCTGGGACACACACATATTAAATCCTTTTAGACAAGTATCTTTTCAAAATAAATATCAGCCTTGGCTTTTTAAATAATTTCAAATGTTAAACAACAACTCAACACCATTTCTTTAAAGATTTGCAAACGGTCCAAACAGGACACCCCAAAACCTACACTCTTTTTAGAGCAACTGCACCAAAACAGCAGCATTTGTTTTAAACTGGGGTACAAACATGTGCTGGAACAGTGCATATAGTCATACTGTGTGCACATTCATTTTACTTGCACATGTAAGCACGCCTCCAGGGTTTGGATTTGGAAAGTAAAAATGTAAACAGAAACAGTTTTGAAGTATAGTTGGCAGCTTGTATTTCTGTGTACACTTCCAAATCTGGAAGGCTGCCTGCAATAAATAGAACCAATTATGTTCTTTGACAGTAAAAGGACTATAATTTTAAGAGAAATCTAGGGCGATGTTATTTAAATCCAAATAAGGGTACACGCAAATACTTGAAATGAACACTGCATCACACCTGCAATCCCTGACCTTCCAAAAACACCTTAAAACTTTTTTCCCCCTGCCAAAAACTTTGGGATACCACAGATGGTCAGAAAGGCCAAACTCAAAACCACCCACTGATCAAATCACATTCTTTTCAACTCATTATGGCCTTCCTGATCCATTCAGGATGTTCTCCATCACCAACCTTGCTAAGCACCCAACCTAGAAATGATCAAATTTTGAAACTCCGTTCAAAAATAATAACTATACGTGGAGGAAGAAAGAGGGAAGTTAAACAACATACCTCCCAAAATACAAATCCTACTTGCTTCCAGATACTCTTATCATATTAATGCTAATTTATATAATCTATTTTCTTACAGGATAGAAATCAGCTATAGTCCAATATAGTCCCTTATTTAGAATCAGAGATTCCAAGTTTAGAAAATTTGGGTTTGGTAAACTATGGCAGTTTTTTCACCTCACAGCACTGAGTTGTGCGGAACTACGACAGCATGGTTAACTCCATTTCATTCTACTGAGTATTTTATTACAAGTTACAGCCTACAATTATTTTTCTAATGCATTCTTGACAACATACAAATATGTTAACTCTGAAAAAGTTTACATGAGACCATTATAATGTCTGCTGCTACTTCTGAAAAGAATTCCTTCCCCTTGAGGAATGGGGCTCAATGAGGGAGAAATTCAGGAAGAATTGTACTGCAGGAGAATTAATACTGGTTCCTAACATTAGTACTCAAAGTAGTACTTTCTGTGTTCATAATTAAAGCAACCTAAGCTTGGGACAAATTAACTTAAGTCAAAACCCCACATGTATTTTCCCCTAAAGACATGTGAGGCTACTGCAGCTGTTTTTACCACACTTTTACACATAAAAGCCCTGTGCATCTATAGCTCAGCAGGACAACCTGGCAGTATTTTTTCTGCTGTAAGGTTTTTTTGTACATTAACATTTTGCCAGAAGAATCTCTAACAGGAGCATCACTGATCTAAGTTTTATATATCTTGCTAAAAGGAAGGACTGTCACCCTTCAGTACAGATGGAATCTACATTACAAAAACGAGCAAACAAGAAGTGACCTTTCATGAGCTCTTCTATCAGAAAGTGTGGAGAACCCTTCCTTGCTAAGAGAACACTCATTTTTACAGATTATCTGTTTACAGATTAGATTAAGTGAATTGATTTTCACTGTCTAGAGATTACTCACAAACATTCTACCAACTCCCCCCAAATATCAATATTTAGCAATTAAGGGGGAGAGAGAGAGATACACCACAGTTAACTGGTAAGGCTTTTTTCTTCTGTTTTGTAAACTACCTGTAAGCATGTTCTCCAAAGAGAAGAATTCCACCTAACATTAACACATATGTCTTGTAAAGCAGGTGAAGACCCACTGTGCAAATCTGTGGGCCAGCCTAGTGGGAAAAAAAAT